TCTTCGGGCGCACTGCAGACCTCCTCGCACAAGCTGCTGGGGCAGCGCTTCCGCATGGCATCCGCAGGAATGAATGAATGGCTGGACGCAGCCTCTTGATTTATACTTCTGCGCTGCGTTGGTCTGCCCTGTATCCCTTGGCCCACGATGTGCACACAGTCCCAGACGGTACTTGCTGAACAGGACCGGACTGACTAACTGGGACTGCTGACTGGGCTAGGTGGATTACCACCACTTGACCACTTGCATCTGCTGAACACAGGCCAACTCCGAAAGGCCACTTCTAGAAGTCTCGAACTTGGCCTTTCGGTACTGTAGCAGCTACGACTTTGCCCTTTCAGGTAAGTAGCAGCTATGACCTTGACTCTTCTGGCATCCTACAGCTACGACTTTGGAACTGTCTAGACTCCTACCCTACAGGTCTACAGTTCGATTCCCTTCTAAGCTGTGACCTAYGAAACCCTGCCTACCACTGGCGATCCTACAGGTCGCGGGTTCAAGTCTACGGGTTGACATCAATACTGTACACAGGTAAGATAGGGAACTAGGGATCGAGCCCTGGGATCTGCATTTGCTACTGCGAACTGGTGATTACCGTTTCATTATCCTGCATCTGCAGAGCATCCTTGCAAAACTCTGCTATCCCGCACTGAGGCCATACTCACACTAGGTCTTTTTCCACAAAGCTCTGGACGTGATTGCAGTCAGATTCAACCAGGAATGGCTGTAATTGCGGTCAAATGCATTTCACAGTAGGACGTTTTCCACAAAGCTCTGGATGTGATTGCAGTCAGATTCATCCAGGACTGGCTGTAATTGCGGTCAGATGCATTTCGCAAAGTGCTAGTGTGAGTATCCCCTGACTGTGGTCAACGAAAGAAAAGGAATGGAAGTGGAACATGTTTGTTAAATTGTTAGTCTTTTTGGCTTGCAAATCTTTTTTTGTGATTTATTACTTGTTTTCCTTGCTTCCATTAACAATTTAACATCCATTGCAGGATCGCATCATGGTTTATGTGGGAACAACAAGTGGGAGTGTCATTGCAGTGACAGTTAAGGTAATGCATTGGCCACATGTATCTTTTCTTTTTCCGAAGAAAGGGGGTATAACCCCTAACATTATTTGGTACATCCAGCCCAGTCAGGATTCAAACTCGTGATCTGTTCTCAAACAGTTAACGTGTGTTTACCTTTCAACCGCATGGGGCCTGGGTGTCTACTCGTTTCTCATATGGTCCACCTTCCTTTTTTTTTTTTTTTTTTTTTTTTTTTTTTTTTTTTTTTTTTTTTTTTTAACTTGGACCATTTGTCGATTTATGTGTGTCATCGTTGCGCAGGGGCCATGCAAAAAATGTTCTCTGTATCGTTCTAGGTCTTTGTCTTTCTTTTTTCTTTTTGTTTTTTGGGAGGGGTGGATCGCTAACGTTATTGTATCGAACAGGATTTGAATTCTCGAACTGTTTATCAATAATTACATGCGTGCTGCACTGTGTACGGTTCCACTAGCAGGCAGGTACTGGTATCTCTGGTTTCGTTTAATGTCGTACACAATAATCTTGATGAATCTCTGAACTTGTCCCTTTGTTCTCTGTCCATCCATGAAGTAATGTTGATGGTTGTCCCACTCTCTAGGTGTTCGATGAAGTAAACAATGATGGTCGTCCCGTTCTTCCAGTTATTCCTGAAGGTGTTCACATGCCATGGATGTGTGCTGATTTTCGGAGAGTGTTCCACGCTCTGGCCGTCCCCTAGGGTCCGTCACCATCTTTTTCTCCATCCACCCGTGCGTCCATTCCTCCATCCATCTGTTCATTTATCGCTCCCGTGATGCGCTTCCCTTTGTCTTATCTGTCTGCCTTCTTATGCGTTCATTGGCCTCTCTGTTTATCCATGCAGCTGTGTACCCATCCAAACGCTGTCTCGTTAGTCACCCATCCACCCATCCATCCATCCTGTGAGGATTGTGTCGTCAAGGGGCTATAGCCGACATGCACGTGAACTGGGCTTTGGCCCCCAGCAAGCCTCGTGACCGCCCTAAGTGAAGGCGGCCTGAATATCCGCAAGAGGCCCTTATCTCAGCATTTTCCAATGTGGGTATCAGATAGTTGCAGCATGCCAGTTGGTTGAAGTGCAACAAGAGCCTCACCCTGGATCCTTCCAGAAGCAGCAGCTGCGTCAAGCAGTTGATCCCAGGACGCAGGTGGTTGCGCCCTGGGCACACGCAGTGTGAGGCCGACACATCACGAAGTGGCCGCGGGCCAATGAGAATGCAGGATTGTTGTCACACCTACCCCGCGGTCCAATGCAAACAAAGCAGACACTTGGAGCTTGGAGGCTGCCTGGACGTGCCCAACCAGAAAGCGCCCAGGCCCCCAATTGTCAGATAGGGCCTGGACACAGACTGTTGCATACCGTATAGGTGCAGACCAGAACAAGAACCGACCTTTCAATACAAAGTATAAAATAGCACAGCGGAAGACTTAGATACCAATGATCCGAACAATCAATATTTCAATGCAGCCCCAAACATACATCATCATCATCATTCCATGGTGTGAAGGGGTCTGGCGCTTCACACAGGAAGACTGCGCCAGTCCCAACCATACACAGACGAAGAAGATGGGGTTTAGACGAAG